ACTCGACTCATCATTCAACTTCAGAAAGCCCTGACTTAACTCTGACTCAAACAAGGAGCTGACTTTTTCCCTTGACTCGACTCATGACTCAAGCGGCTCAATAAGAATATGAGTTGACCGTCAAACTTGACTCAAATTTTTTTGCTGAGTCAAGTGAGTTGACTCAAAATTGACTCAGATAAAAAAGTTGTTGAGCGGGGGTGAAAAAAAATCCGGCAGCAGGGCCAGGGCTAAGTTGTTAAGCGGGGGAAATATATATTGTTTCTAGAAAGTTGAGTCAGCTGACTCATGTTCCTAAATGTTTGACTCAACTCAATGTCAAAAGTTATTTTACTGACTCAAATCTGACTCAACTCAACGCCTTAATGTTTTTGTCCGACTCAACTCTGACTCAACTCAACAGCTTAACATTTCATCCGACTCGACTCAAATCTGACTCATTTGAGTCAGAGTTGAGTCAAATTTCTGACTCGACTCATGAGTCAAGCACAATCCTGGCTTTAGGCTATGTTGAGTTATGCTTTTTTGGGTGGCTCACCGGGCCGTCGAGTAAAGTATTTATAAATTGTATTGCCTCCGTTCGTCTATGTTACATTCTCAGCCTTCAGTCAGAAGACGCCCATCGCTAGCAGCGATACTTGCGTCATCTATGTACAATGTTGATTGTTGAGTTCACCGCGTTGTGCAGATGACGCCACAAGCGGTAGAGCAATGAGGGAATATGTGCTGGACAACTACACCGGTCCTTCTCTGACTGGTCCAGTAGACCAGTGGCCTTACGAAACGATATCGTGAATATCGTGAACCAAATCACAAACTGCGATCTGATATCTGATATTTGCATTAGTGAAATGTAGGCATGTGTCTCATAAAGTTCGGCAGTCAGCGACCAATTCCGTTACAACGCCACTTTACATGGCACAGACGGAAGAACAACGATGCATCAGATTTTTTGTTTGGTGTACCTGTAGCTCCACTTGCTATAAATCCATATTCTTATAATCGAGTCCGTTCTGTTTAGGCAATAAACATAGGTAGGTATTGTGTATACTCAGTTCATTCTAGTGGCATGGGTGTAGTTGCGGACTCAGTCCAAGACCCAACGACTTCAGTTTTTTTTTTCAATTCCTAGATAAGGGGAGTTATGCATGTGATCATAGCTACGACAAACAAGAACACAACGCAGTGTGCAGCTGTTTATCCCCAAATGCTCATCCAATCCCTTATGTTACGTTGTAGAAGACGCTGTCACCCGTCGCCACCCAGGATCTGGCGTCACGTCACCGTCACTCGTGGTCGGTAAGTGCACCCGGATGTCTGCCATCCTTTGGTGACAGGTCACTTGACAGGTCACCATTACCTGCCGGTGCACAGACCGAGTGGGCCGTACAGCTCGTCCTGATTGGCCATTACCGCCGTCCCGCCCACCACTTAGTGTTTGAATAATGAAAACGGGGCGCGCTATCGGAGGCTAAGTACGGGCCATCACTGCGGTCGTTAGTGAAGCCGATCATTGAACGTTTGGAGCCATCCGATAGCTCCCTCAACAGAGCAGCGACAGTCGTGCAGTGAGCGGCAACGGTGAGCAGGGAGACGAAATAGGTAAGAGGTAACCGGTTTGTTATTAAGCTCCCTTTGAACTAGAAAGTGTGAGCATAACTTATTCTTAAAATGTTTTGGATTTAGTGCAACATTTTCTTCCCAACCATCCGTCACCATTAGGGTGGCCATTTTTTTGCAAAGTACACGGAATCACCGCTCCTAGCCTCGATTCTGATGCATTTTTTCATGCTGATTCCGAATCCGTCGAGAAAAATGAAAAATTCGTAAAAAATTTGACCCCTGAACGTCCTTGAAGTTTTTGGATAACGTGAAAATATCGACGTCTCACTGTCTAATCGAAAGTTGCGTTGTGTTTAGACTTAACAGTTTATATGAACGTGAAATATGGTCTGTTGGCGCCACAATGCCGCTAAAACCAGCAATATTACTCATTTGGTTTAGCAACAGCGTTCAATAATATCCGCACCCTTTGGGGCAATCTGCCTCTGATGGCGAGTATCGAACTAATAGTGATACACGTCTGCCTGTAGGTGGCAGCACTGTTCCCCAACCTTCGATTCTTTGATAGGTCATTGTGATATCATTAACACGTTTTATCATCATGTTTTCCTTGCCAAAAGATACAATAACCATTAATCTGATTGTCTGAAAGAAATTTCAAGCACCAGTGTGTCATTTTCCTTTCCTAAACAATGTTTAAAATGAGGTAAAATAAGGTAAAAGCAAACAATCTGGATGAAACGGTAATAGCCCATGGTAAACACGATTACACAAGGAATCGTGTACGACACGTTTCGTTCAGTAGCATACACGGGACGGGATGCACCTAGATGCTCAGCGAGCCCCACCGGCATTTGGTTTGGTCGTAAGACCCTATGACTTGATTAAACCCAGCTGCCGGCCCGCAGTGATGTCGTTGGAAGATTATGCAATCGTAGACTAGAGCCGATGGCGTTGTGCGGCACTGATGTGTCACGGACCAATAAAGCCCATCATTAAACATGTCTCCGATGAAGTTAATGTATGGTTACGCGCTTTCTTGCCTGTCTGGAGGGTGTGAAACTGCCGTCCGTGGCGCCGCGGAGACCGTGTCGCTGCAGACACTGACCTCATGAGAAGAGCGGCCCAAGTCGGAGACGGCCTTGCTGGATGTTTTTCAGCGGACCCGACCTGTCGCCTTACTATACCGGATTCACTGCCAGCCACAATGAGCGAATTCCCGCAGAGGAAGTGTAAATGTAGCGAGGCAGAAGGCCCACTGGAGGGTGTCTCACTCTGCCGAGCAGCGGCACAGAGCAGAGGAGCAGCGCTGCCGGTTTTTCACCTGTCCTTTCCAGTATCCCGCTGTTGCCTAGCGACTGGCCGATGTGCTCATGCCTGGCACCGAGCTGATCTGCGAGGAAGGACAAATCCTCGGGATGTTCCGGTAACTGATTCCGGTGCGCTGTCAAACAGCGAGCTGGTCCCTTCAGATTGTGCAGTTGTTAGAGTCTGACGCTTTAGCGATCTTGCCTATTGTTCGACAGCTCATGATTTTGGCCACCATTGAGTCAATGCGCTGGGCAGGCAAGTAAGTGCATAACCATACATCACCGGTGACCTGTTAAATGATTGGGTTTATTGGTCCGTGACACATCAGTGCCGCACAACGCCATCGGCTCTAGTCTACGATTGCATAATCTTCCAACGACATCACTGCGGGCCGGCAGCTGGGTTTAATCAAGTCATAGGGTCTTACGACCAAACCAAATGCCGGTGGGGCTCGCTGAGCATCTAGGTGCATCCCGTCCCGTGTATGCTACTGAACGAAACGTGTCGTACACGATTCCTTGAGTAATCGTGTTTACCATGGGCTATTACCGTTTCATCCAGATTGTTTGCTTTTACCTTATTTTACCTCATTTTAAACATTGTTTAGGAAAGGAAAATGACACACTGATGCTTGAAATTTCTTTCAGACAATCAGATTAATGGTTATTGCATCTTTTGGCAAAGAAAACATGATGATAAAACGTGTTAATGATATCACAATGACCTATCAAAGAATCGAAGGTTGGGGAACAGTGCTGCCACCTACAGGCAGACGTGTATCACTATTAGTTCGATACTCGCCATCAGAGGCAGATTGCCCCAAAGGGTGCGGCTATTATTGAACGCTGTTGCTAAACCAAATGAGTAATATTGCTGGTTTTAGCGGCATTGTGGCGCCAACATACCATATTTCACGTTCATATAAACTGTTTAGTCTAAACACAACGCAACTTTCGATTAGACAGTGAGACGTCGATATTTTCACTTTATCCAAAAACTTCAAGGACGTTCAGGGGTCAATTTTTTTACGAATTTTTCATTTTTCTCGACGGATTCGGAATCAGCATGAAAAAATGCATCAGAATCGAGGCTAGGAGCGGTGATTCCGTGTACTTTGCAAAAAAATGGCCACCCTAGTCACCATGGCACCTTTATATATTTCCCCGCAGGATAACCAATACAAATCAAATGTACAAATGTAACAAATGTACAACACAAATTAAATTTACCGAACTATTTGTTCAATCCCCATTTTTGTACGTTCAAGCCTCGGAAGTTTCCCATTAAAATTAAATCCAAATGATGCAAATCAATTTATGCAAGTTTTAGACCCATTACTCATGTCTACTTTTTCAGTTGGTGCGGAAGTAAAGACATAAATTCATTGGGCTACAGCACGTGTCTCGTTATAAGCGATGTCGGTGAAGCCGCTGAAAGCCGTCGCCTTTCTCCTGAACCGCGATATTCCACTGCTGAGCGATGAAGACTCCCAGCTCAGAACCGTGTCAGGATCCCTCAACGAGCCCGCCGTGCCGGGTCCAGGACCCACCCGGGGCCCGGGGCCCACCAGAGGTTCGCGGCTCCCCCGAAGCCGGTCACCAGTGCAGCTCGTGGCGTCCAGAGGATCTCGATTACGTAGTGGTCAGAGAAGGACCCCCGCAGCCGCCGGGAACAGCGAGGGTCAGCCGCGCGGTGGAAAAGGAGAGGAGTCGGAACCGACAACACTGTCCGATAAACGTGAGATGATTGATTGTGGATAATGTGCAGAGGTAATTATGCTGTATGAAAGCGTACAACCCGAGAGGTAAAAGCTAAAAACTTGGTATTAGGAAAAGTCAAAGTATTAGATAGTTGTAATCATGATGACTGACAAATGCAACTTACGAGGCTGCATTTCATCTCTGCCAATGCCCATCGTTTAACGCACATAGAAGCGGTTTTTCCTTACGGGAGCTAAACGACTACGTTGTCGAGTTCGTACCACATTTTTCCGATATGTAAAAATAGTTTTGCCGAGAAACATTGAAAACAGAAATCACACACTATATCTATGCATTTATAAAGGAGAAGTGACAGTCTGCAAAGTGCAAACATTCTGTGGCCTTTCTAGTTCCTTCAGTGCCGAAGAAGCAAACATGGACATCAAGAACCTCCTTCAGATGGTCTCTTACAACTTTACTCGGCATGAAGCAGTGGAAGTCCAAAACAAAGCAGATCGGCCAAACAAAGGACGATATCGAAATCGAGGATGTTTCCGACGGTAAGTGTGATAAAGCGTTCTTAAACACGTTGTTACGTTTCTGACTTGTGAGTCAGTACTTCTGAATGTTAATCACGAATGTCCGTCGTGGAAAGAAAACTGAAGAAAACTGAAATTGCGAAAGACATTAGCTGGTTATAATTCAGGCAAAATGGATAATGACTTAAATAGATGAAAGTTGATTCCTTATCATTAGGTTAGAGTTTGATTCCAACATTCTATTTGCTCTTTCTTCCCAGTAGCGGCGGAATACCTTCAATTAAGTGTGTGGGGGGGGGGGGCACTGCCGACTTTTGGTCCCATTCCTTCCATGCAACGCCCATAGGGCTAATGTTAAAATGCCAAAAACAAAGGGGGCACGGTGCCCCGCTGCCCTCCCCATTTCGCCGCCTATGTTTCTTCCCAGCGATTAGCAGCCCTTCTGTACCTATCCATAAACATTTTGTTCCACGCTGCAGCGGAGAGTGACCTGAGCCGCGACTGGACGCCGCCGCCGCTGCAGCGGGTCCTGTACCACGACCCGACCCCGTCCGAGGCGCTGCCGGACAGGTCACCCCCGGAGGACGTCCCGCTCTCTGAGCCGTCTCGCCTGCCGTGCTGGGAGGCGCTGAGACCGCAGAGTGAGGCGGGAGGTGGGAGAGAGGGGCGGGGTGGCAAAAGAAAATGGCGACATTGAGCTGCCTCTGTTGAATTGCAATGGATATGGTTTCAAACTAAAATTGCAAAAAGTATGTTTAGAGGATAGTCGTGTCTCAATCGATGGGAAGATCAAGCACGCAGACTTGTCAACCCTGAAAGGTTTGTAATTATTAATCATTTCCACTGAAAACATCAAAATGACGTGCAATTATTAGTCATAGCTTACCTACAATCCGTGGCAAATTCACAACATCTGGTTGTAAATGCTGCTTTGAAACATTCATGCGAGCGAGCATACGACCATTCATACATTCATATGATTGTAAAAATAAGCCCCGGAAAAAAGCTTCTCCGTCTCCCCTGCCTTTGGCGTGCACCTTTGTTGCAGGTGGGTGGTACATCGGCTGGCTGCTGGTGGTCGTACTGGTGTTTCTGTACAACTGCTGGATGGTGCCCTACAGGGCCTTCTTCCTCTACGGCAGGCAAGGTCAGCGCAACAAGGACAAGGTCTGACCAACGCCTTCCCATTGACCGCTGGACAAACTCACTGAGAGACGAGAGTCAGGGCATACGAAAGAGAAAGCGGGCATGACGTGCACGCATGACTTAGATACAATTATTTCTTATGCTCATACTAATCAGATTTTGTAATATTTTTATATACCTACTACATGTAAAGTTAAAACTACCTGGCAGCTTTGTTTCAGGCTTCAAGCAGTAGGTACTTACTTACAACTGTTCAGCAGTTTTCGTGGAAGTTTCTAAGAAAAATCTACTTCCCGAACCGCTCGCGGGCTCATCTCTATGAATACTATTTTTCACTGTTCTCTTTTTGTTCACCGTGTTTCTCATGAATATCCTCAATGGCAGTACCTACAACCGTGCAAACAAATGATATCATACCTACTTCTCACTCCATTCATTCCGTTTCCGTCAGAGTTCTACTGGCCGTGGCAGTTGGGCGACTACCTCGGTGACGTCATCAATCTGGTGGACGTTCTCTGTATGAAGCCGCGGCTGGCATTTGTCAGTACCGTGGACGGTACCTGGGTGACGTCACGAAGGCAAACCATCCGCCACTATGTCGGAACGACAATGTTCTGGGTAAATGTGGGATAGGGAATGGTTAAAAGGCCAGAACAAGAGCGTGAGTGCGTGTTAATTAGTCTTGGGGTTGGGGAGACAGTGGGGACAACAATGGTACTTTGGGGTTGTGGAGACAAAATACGGCCAAGAATGGGTTATCAAGCTGTATGCTTAAATGCATGATTCATGAAATAAATATCTATGCGATCAAAATGACACGTCTGCTGTCGTTTTTTGTTCGCAGATGGACATTATAGCTGTGATCCCTCTGGGCATACTTTACGCTATTTACGGCCCAAACTCATTCTGTCGAGTAAACCGAATGGTAAAGGTAAGTTGACCCAGTGATTCAAGCTCTTTCAAATCAAAATTTGGAGCTAGGAGTTACAGCTGACAATGAATATGTGGTCTCGAAGCGTGTCATTTCGAAAGGTCAGAATGCCTATCATGATTACAAGCTTTAAGTGCGAGTATGCATGAAGCGTTAATAAATTGCCACTGGAAATTCTTATCCTTTCCACTTTGTTCCGTTCAAAAGCTTCGGTATTTCATATCGGCAGATACACACGTACTGGGAGTTTTTCGGCCGGCTGACGGCGGTGGCGGCGTTCCCCAACGTCACCCGAGTGGCCCGCACCCTGTTCTACATGTTCTTCCTCATCCACATCAACAGCTGCGCCTACTACATGGCCAGTCTGCTGCAGGGCTTCGGCTCCAACACCTGGGTGTACAACAACGTCGGCAACGCGTGAGCTTATTGATAGTCGGCCGCGTATATCAGCAATTGATATCGCTTGTTGTTGTTATTCTTTAGCTGTCGTAAAAAAGTTTGGCGAACAATACAAAGCCGAAGGAAATGCAGATACATTATGTACATCGAAATGGAGCCTGCAGAGCGAACGATATGCTGAGATGAGACAGTATAAGTTTAAAATCAACATTGAACCACGAAAGTAATGACTGCTCTGCTTGGTCTTTCAGGTACGCGCGGTGCGTGTTTTTCGCCACCAAGACGGCCATGTCGGTAGGCAGGAACCCCAAACCGACCAACGTCGCAGAGTATGTGTTCATGGCGGCCAGCTGGCTGCTGGGAGTGTTCGTGTTCGCCATCCTACTCGGTCAGGTCAGGCCAGGTCAAGTCAGGTCAGACAGGATATAATAAATGTCATGTCAATTGTCAAGTGGGAAAGGTGATCATATTTTAAATCGCACCAGCCGGATCCGGCGAGGACATTGGTCAAGCCGCGCTGCAACATCAGGTAGAGATCAAAAGGGCGAGGTCAAAAGAGCTCAACTTTTTTGATGTGGTGAGGTTGGGTGGATTTTTTTCACCTAGCGCTTACAAAATGCGACAATTCCAGACAGCTAAGCGGACACGAGACGAGATTATTATATTTATTGACAGAATATGCGCCAAAGTGTCTTTGCATTTTTTGTTGCCTTTGGTCAGATCCACGACATTGTGGCGATGGCGAGCCGGTCTCAGACGGAGTTTCGTGAGCGTCTGGACAAGGTGATGCTGCTGCTGAAGAACAAGGGTGTGCCGCAGGAGACCCGTCAGCGGGTCAAACTCTGGCTGACCTACACCCATCAGGAGGATACCACGCCGAGTGAGTGTACCGGCCGGGAATAGCAGTGGCTGGGAATACGGGGTGCCCAAAGATTGTGTGTCTGAATGTAGGTATATGGACGACAGCATGAGAGGTATAGCTCATGACATTCCGAGACGTCATGCACTGAATACCTGACACGGTCCAATTACGCACGATCACTATTGCTGACACTGAATGATCTCTCGTGCCGTTTTTTTAAGTATACACTGCTTGACCAGTGACTGCAGTGACCACGCTGACGGTGCCTGATCTCGCCGGCAGCGGAGCACAACTGCCTCCTGAGCCTGCCGCTCAAGCTGCGGACCGATGTGGCCATGCAGGTCCACTACAGTACGCTGGGCAAGGTGCGCCTGTTCAGAGGCTGCGACATCACCTTCCTCAGAGACGCGGTGCTGCAGCTGCAACCGGTCGTCCTTCTTCCTGGAGACTTCGTCTTCAGACAGGCAAGCACGGCGAGAGTTGCCTGAGAGAGCCGTCTTGCGATTCATTTGTGAGACTACTTAACGATATCCTGTCAATGAAAATCTCTAGATGATTATCCAGCAGCTAGCTACCCTTTTTGCTCCCCTAGCTTAGTCCGCCTCAGCTGCATCTCTTGTCTACGTTCCGCCTCCCCCTTTCTCAGGGCGATGTCGGCCGCGACATGTACATCGTCGGCTCTGGGTTCGTTGAAGTGCTGGACGCCCCAGGGTCGAGCGTCGTCAGGAAGCGCCTTCAGGTTGGCAGCGTGTTCGGAGAGAACAGCCTGCTGACGCCACACTGCAGACGCTGCGTCGATATCAGGTCAGTGTGGGGTCAGGTCACAGTGATGTCAGGTCAGTTTGGGGTCAAGTCACGGTGAGATGAAGTATTTAGGTGTGAGGTAGGATCGGTACTCAGTACTCAGTATCCCACCGCTGCCATCTGTCAGTCACCGCACCGGGCGTATTGCTCGGGGACCCTAACAGACGCCTCACTCCTTTCCCTCATCTCAGTTGTTCTTTCATTTTTTTATAAATAATGGAGATAGACCAGAGCATTTTCGGTGCATTTATTAGGGTCATGTTACTCCAACGGGGTTGCGTTGTCGGCACAGTCCTGTCTGGTCTGTGTGCTCCGGCGATGCTCTGCTATCCGGTGACCCAATGCCACTGTCCGCTGACCGAGTGTCGGCTCGCTGCTGACCGTTTTTTTTTAGGAATGACACTGACGTTGTTTCTGGTCCAACTAGAGTTTTATCCACCAAATTTGATCTTCGTCCAGCAACGCTGGCCGAACTTCGTTCTGTAGTGCGTTCACTCAAAATGCATTCATCAGCTGGTCCCGATAAGCTGCCTACATTTTTATTTAAATCTTTCTCAGGCAGGTAGCTTCTGCCGCTTTTGCGTATTTTGAACGCCTCCATCAACAGTGGTACCATACCACTGTGTTGGAAAACTGCAGAAGTTGTCCCTATTTTTAAGGGTAAAGGTGACCCCAGGGATGCGACTAATTACAGACCGATTTCTCTGTTAAACGTTGTGTCTAAGATTCTTGAAAGAGTTGTTTCACTTCAGCTTAAGACATATTTAGAAGACTGTTGTCTGTTATCGGACGAGCAGTTTGGATTCCGACCTCGTCATTCCGTAAACCATGCTCTCATTGCGTTGACAGAGTCAATTCGGTCCACCATCGATAGCGGCAAAATATGTATCTTGGTGTCATTAGATCTGAGCAGAGCCTTTGATTCTGTTGATCACAGTATATTGCTTCAAAAACTTTCTCATTACGGAATTGAACACCCCTGGTTTGAGAGCTACCTTGCTGAGAGATGTCAGTATGTTCGAGGCTGTGATGATTTTAGAGGCAAGGTCTCATCAGGTGTTCCGCAAGGCAGTGTCTTGGGCCCAACGTTGTTTAATTTGTTTGTCAATGACATGACTTTTGTTGCCAATAACTTAGGCTCCCTAGTCCAATACGCAGATGATACTCAGATAATTGTTTCAGGTAAACCTCAAGACATTGATGACATTATAAATCGTCTTCAAACATTGCTGAACAGGCTTCGTGTATGGTTCTCTCGAAATCGCCTGACGATCAATATCAGTAAATCACAAGTAGCTGTTTTTGGCTCTAAAACTATTTTGAGGCGAATCAACTTGCGGAGCATTACTATCTTTGATGCTGTGATACCCGTCAAAAGTACATTGGTGAGTCTAGGCGTGACAATAGACAGTTGTTTCACCTGGGCCCAATCTTATAAAGGTTGTGCTACCAAATGGCGTACTATCATTCCACCCCACTCTATTTACGGCACCCTATTCACGCAATCTTATAAAGAGAATAGTATGGTAATTCTATTCACGCCATTTTGCCCACAGTACAAATCAACGCCAGCAGGAAACACGCAACGTGATTGGTCAATGTCTTGTCGCCGTCGCTATTGGAAATTATGCGTACTGTTTGCGAACAGTAAAAGTTATGTGTTTTAATTTTTATGGGGCATTTATTTCTTTTAGAGACACACATATGTGTAATGAATAAGTTATTTATGGAAAACGTGATAGCAAACTATGGAAAACACAAACATGCTTGAAGAATTCTCCTGAAAAGTGGATTGCCGACCAAATAAATTTCAGCGAGGGCATTCTCGCGCTAAGAAATTCGAGTGAATAAAGTGTTTCTTCTACTTATCATTTGCATTTATTTGCTGTTAAGGCATTGCAATAAATTTGTTAAAGAATTATTTAAATAGTCATTTAATTATAGGTCGGCTACTGTTTCAGTAATTTAGGTACCTAATGCCGTTGACAATGAAGCTCCTACAATTTGAGCATCAGGATACGAACATTAACTGGATCAATTCAAGATATAGCTTATTTTCCTTCTTGTCATAAGCTCTTGACATTTTCCTTCTTGAAGATAAACTACTAAAATTCGAAGACTACGTACATGAACTGAATTAGGTCAAGTTACAGCTTATTTTCCTTCTTATTCAAGCATAGGTACCTGCACCTAACCTAAAGCTAAAAAGCAATTCCTCAAAAGATTGAAGAACCCAGTCTACATATCAAAGCATATCAAGAAAAATACTCGGCTCAGAAGTCAGATCGAGATGCAGGAAGAGAAACAACACATTGATCCTTAACTGTGCCAGACAGAAAGTGAGGAGATACGAATAGTGAGTAGGAATTAACAATTTTTGACAAACTAAGGTATATCATCATTAATTTAAATATCTAATCAGAAGCCATGAAGTGCCCGTTATTTGTGTCATACGTGAGACGTGAGAATAGGCTAAAGACCCATACCGATTCTATAATGCAGTGGCTGCCGAAAATCTATGATGGTTACTGGTGCTAAAATCTTCTTAAAAATCCCCTTTTAATTTGAAAAATAAATCCATATAACGATGAACACTCGTTTTTATGTGTTTTAGTGTGCATTTAGTTCCTGAAAATACATATTTTGAAATTGATCGTTGTCTGTATTATTACATAGGCGGCGGAACGGGGAGGGCACCGGGGCACCGTGCCCCCCCTTTGATTTTGGCATTTTAACATTAGCCCTATGGGCGTTGCATGGAAAGAATGGGACCAAAAGTCGGCAGTGCCCCCCCCTTAACTGAAGGTGTTCCGCCGCTATACTGTCTGTATAATAAGCATCATTATAATAAACCATGAGTTAATATGTGGAGGATGTTTTAATCTTAAAAAATATCATAACGTAAAATATTGCATACTTATATCATAAAAACATTGAATTTATCTTAAATGAATTTAACTGTCTGAGAAGCTCGTCAAAGTACGCCACAAATTCTGGCGTGAAATGGACGCCGCTGAAACCGCAAACAGCTGATGATTGTCGGTGTTTTGAGATGTGCACAGCTGCTCACGGTTAAAAGCATGCTAGGGCATCCTCAAAACCGGCGGCTACCAATGCTGTAGGGAGCGTGCCGTGTTTTCGATTTTACAGATTGCGTACTATATATCCAGCCTTAGAGTGCTGCCATATCCATTTCACGGCGTTTATAAGATTGGGCCCTGGAGCACTGGCGGATCCTGGGGGGGGTCCACGGGGTCATGACCCCCCCCAAAAGGTCTGAGAGGGTCATTTGACCCCCCCCAAAAGCCGAAGACCTAAATGCGCTATAGACGCCGTCTTGCATGCTCAAAATCACCTGTCAAACACTTCTGAGCTAATACCTTTGTTTTTCTGGATCGTGTTGCGTGAAAAGGCGTATTGAAGACCAGAATCTTACTCGTTTTTGTCTCAACCGTGCGAGCACCAGGGGATGATCCAGGAAAACTCCAAGGGGATGGTCATGAATTTAATTCGTGGTGCCCCTACCTATACGCAAAATTAAAAACTCAACGGATTTCGGTCACTTAATTTTGGTGATGTCCTATTTTCATTTTTTATTTTGTTTGTTTTATTTTTAGTGCCCCTGGGCCCTGGCAGGTCAAAATCACGTCTGAGGCGAAAGAAATTCACGGGAATCCCAAAAATCACGTCAGGACATTCAGGGCCCTCTGACCAGCCTGACAGCTAGGGCCCTTCTTACTTCCTGGGGCCTCCAGTGAATAACCGCTAGTGTCTGTGTCTGACCGCTAGGGCCCCTCTGACTCCTCAGTAGGTAGGAGGCCCTCTGTAGAGGAGGTCCTCTGTAGAAAGGAGGCCCTCAGTAGAGAGGAGGCCCCCTGTAGAGAGGAGACCCCTTTAAAGAGGAGGCCCTCTGTAGAGAGGAGACCTGCTGTAGAGAGAAGGCTCTATGTAGAGAGGAGGCCCTGTGTAGAGAGGAGGCCCTCTGTGGAAAGGAGACCGCCTGAATGCAGAAGGCCCTCTGAAGAGTGGAGACCCGCTGTAGAGAAGAGGCCCTCTGAAGAAAGGAGGCCCTCTGTAGAGAAGAGGCCCTCTGAAGAGAGGAGGCCCTTTGCAGAGATGAGGTCCTCTGGCTCTTTGAAGAGAGGAGGCCCTCTGTAAAGGAGGCCCTCTTAAAGGGAGAGACCCTCAGTAGAGAGGAAGCCCTCTGTAGAGAGGAGGCCCTGTAGCTTCTGTAGTTAAGAGGCCCTGTGAAAAGAGGAGGCCCGCAGTAGAGATCGGTGGTCCTCTGTAGAGAGGAGGCCCCCTCTGTGTTTTGACAAATGTTTTTGCAAATTTTTCGCGGCGCTTCGCGCCGCCGATTTATGTACATACGTACAGGTCAATACGAAATCTTGACTGTAATTACATAAACCAACCGTGTCAAATTGAATCAGAATTCATATGTGTGCTGTAAAGGAACTCCGGCTTGTACTGCAATGCTAAAAGGGTGGTAAAATTTGTGTTTTGGAGCTGTGTTTCGACACATTCTTTTGCAAATTTTCTCGGCGCTTCGCGCCGCCGATTTATACACCAATCAATAAGAGAGAAATAACAGTGACTGTAATAACACCAACCGTGTCAAATTGAATCGGAATTCATATGTGTACTGTGAAGGAACTCCGGCTTGTACTAGCATGCTAAAAAGGTTGTAATATTTGTGTTTTAGAGCTGTGTTTTGACAACTTTTTTTTGCAAATTTTTGCGGCGCTTCGCGCCGCCGATTCATACACAGGTCAATAAGAGAGATCGTGACTGTATGCTACTATTTACTAATGCATTAGGCTAAAAGTGAGGTAACTATATCTACTTCTGGGTTTTTAAGTCGGTCGACCCGCCTCCCCCCCCCCCCCCAGTAAAAAATCCGTGGCGACGCTCCTATATAGGTGGGTTTCACTAACTAAAACTACTGAGCCGAGTGACTTACGATAAAACTTCATCTTATAAACGACGAAGATCAAATG